TACGGTTCTTTTGGTTCCGCAAATTAGTTTACTTCAACTCAATGGCCTCAATAGCAATCGCTCAATCAATTTTTTTTTCCATTTTATGAAAACTTAAGTAAAAAAGATTGCCCTATTTATCATATGCGACACATTTGAGTTAAATAGGTTGAAACATAATAAATTTATCAGTTAAAACAAAAGCACATCAAATTAAAACTAATTAAATGCCTCAAGATGACACAGTTTAATCAGACTAAATTCATGAATCATCATATCAAGAATTAGCCCATAAATAAGGATAGCTATTAATCATAAAATCTAGCATAACCATGACAAGCATTCTAACATGAACTTAATTACTTAGAACAAACAGATCCAAACATTTAACAAGGCGTGTAAACCTACACATAGTACTCAATAAAGAGTAAAAATTAAACAGCTAATTTTCACAAATGAATCCAAAATTGAAAAAATCTATCGTGCCTGCTTGTCAAGGATCATAAAGAAAATACAAAATATTTTGGTGAGTTCATAAACGACAGGGTGCCATTTGATCAATCAATTCAATTTTTATAACACTAGGATGGTGTTCTAGCAAAATCGAAGAGCCTTTCACAGATAGATAAGAAATCTGATTCTAATGACAAAACAAATGTGGACAAGAATTAGGAAAATGCTAAATTCATTGACATCAATGATGATTCTAAGCCAAGTACGAAAAGGTACACTTGGTATAAGATAGTCTTTCCTTTTTCAAGATGATTTCGCACTTTATTACTTAACCTTTGGTTTTGATTGGTTTACTACAAGAAAATGTCATTAAAATTATTGCTAGTTATAAGCGTGATTAGAAATTTATGAACCTGCAGGTCTCAAACCTATTCTATAGGGGTCATTCAAAAATGAATTTCCACTTGATTTTTTGATTGAGGTCTAAAGAGATCATCCTGTAAAAAGCTAATGTCCATATTGTAGAATAAGAATCTTTGTCAACATATTAACAGTTGTCACTAACAATAGCTAATGTCCATATTTTAGAATAAGAATCTTTGTCAGCATATTAATAGTTGTCACTAACAATACAAAGAAGCCATTTTTTCATTTCTCCATTTATTCAATGGGACTAAATAGGACTGGCAATAGAGGTTAGGGAAAACAGAGGAGCTAGGAGTAACTGGATGCAACTTTAGGTAATTGAACCATTTTGAATTCCAAAACATATAAAATCAAAAGCATTCCATTTTACTTGAATTCAAAATGTAATATTACTAAATCAACATATTGATGATAAATGCAGTATATCAAGCTTTTGTTCAGGCACTCATTTTATTCTAAAAAACTATATATACCAAGGTTTTCCTATGCAATTATGGGTCAATAACTCTAAATATCGTTAGAAAATTCATGCCTAGGGATAGCGCAGTAAGATATTGGTTCCTGGGATTGAAATTGGTGAATAACTTTTATGAAGTGGTGACTCGCGACAATGGCGATACCGATTCGCTGTAGTATATGAACTCTGTAATTCGTGAAAGAAGAAGATAAGAAGAGATCGGAGGCTGATTATATTGAATCGCGTTGGGGGATTCGAAGGGAACGAACCCGTTATGTGGTGTTCCCATTCGGGAGATAAGAATTGATGGGAATGGGGGAATCTAGGGTTGAAACGGTTTGAATCGATTTTGGGAATTTGAGGGGAAATTGTGTAGTGTTGAATAAGGGTAATTCAAGTAGTTTATTAATATTAATTTAAAATATTTATTTTAAAATTTTTACTCTGGTCAAAGGCTGAAATAGCAAAGTGTATTATGAAAGGGGTTATTTGACCCAATTTCCACTTTGGGCTTTTGGAATTAAATTTGTTTATTTTGATTGAGTTACAGAAAATTGGTGAATCCATTTCCAATTTTTGAGATTTATCGTTCCTGGTGAATACATACATCAAAAGCGAGAGCTACCTATAATCTTTATCCTCTGAGAAGGTGAAGATGAGGTTAAAATCCTTAATTTGTTTGATTTATTTTGTTTGCAGGACCAAAGATCTAAATGAATTTAGTTATCCAAGGTTACAACTCTGGTGCCCTTACAGTCCTTCCAGCGAGGTCGCCCTCGAAAAGAAACAAACCTAAAGTAACTTAAAACTAAACGTGAACCTCCTGGTTTTGAAGGAGAGAAAGGAAAGCTGGATGGAAATGACAGTATGATGGGCCAGGCAACTTTTGGTGCTGGCTATGTGCTCAATTGCAACTCCAATACAACTCTTGTACTCAAGCTGGGACATTACACTCCAGTCACAGATGAAAATGACATTGCCCCACATGTTCAAATGATAAGAAGAAAGGACATACAGTTCTTGGCTCAAAATCGTACTCTTCAAACAGGTGATATAGTAGGAGCAAATCTCAAATACGCGCCTCCAAAGGTAGTTTCTTCTATTCCTCCAGTGGGCTTGAGGGGCACTGTGGTTACTGATGTTTTGCTACCTGTCATTCCATCAAGTGAACAGCTATCTTCTAGCCAAATGCCTTCTGATACATCCCAAGCTACTTCTGTGTTACCACCTGTTCAATCCATGCCTGTTGGCCAATTTTCGATTGTCGTGCAACCCCAATTTGGGCACCAAGTTGCATAAGAAAGTGTACATAATGAAAATGCTTCATCAAAAGATGGCACGTCGGAGGTTGAAAAAGGAGAAAAGGGTGGGCGATCTGGGGAGTTACAGATGATGGCGGGCCTTTCGAGATCATCAGAGATTCAGAACAAAAATGGTAAGGATGAATGAGTAGAAATGAAGAGAGAGCATGAGTATTATTAAAGTTTGAGAGCAGAGGTTGATGGGTCGAGCAAGACAGTGAAAGCAGCTTCAACAATGCAGAAAATAGGGTCTTTTGTCACTGCAGAGTTAATTGTTCCAATGGTCACTGAATTTATGTCTATGTCTTTGATTGGCCATTGTACTTTAAAATGTTGAGTTTTGATCACTAAATTTTGAAAAATGTCGAATTTTGGTCACTGAACTTAGGTCCATGCGTCCATATTTTTGATTGGTCACTGAATTTTAAAATGTCGAGTTTTGATCACTAAACTTAGGTCAATGTCTTCGATTGCTCATTGAACTTAGGTCAACGTCTTAAATTGCTCAATGAAGGTTAAAATATTGAGTTTTGGTCACTAAATTTTGGAATATGCTGTACGTTACTCACTAGCATGACTGTTGAACTTTGAAAAATATAGTGTTTACAGTGAATATTGTACAACACTTTTCAAAGTTTAGTGAGTAATGTACAATATTTTTCAAAGTTCAGTGAGTAATGTACAACATATTTTAAAGTTTAGTGGCTAAAACTCGACATTTTAAATTTCAGTGAGCAATCGAAAACATGGACCTAAGTTCCGTGACCAAAACTCGACATTTTTCAAAGTTCAGTGGCCAAAACTCGACATTTCAAATTTCAGTGGCTAATCAAAGACATGGATCTAAATTCAGTGATCAAAACTCGACATTTTAAAATTTAGTGGTCAATCAAAGATATGAACATAAGTTCAGTGACATTTGAAACAATTAACTCGGCTTAATAGTATAATGCTTTCTAGCGAAGGCGAAGGGATTTGAATATTGGCATAAATTACATTGAAAAAATATCCAAAATTTGGGAATCCTAATTCAATGGTCTTTTGTATCAATCTGCAAGACTGGAAATTCACACGATGGTTTGGAAAAATAGATTGCTTTTCTCCAATTTTGCTAATTAGGCTTTGAAAAGAGGTGAAGATCGACATAATTACGGACTATATAGTCTCTTTTTTCTTTTTATGAATAGCTCAAAAACCTCCTACTTTGGATAATTATTGATTAAGTTTAAAGTTTATGAGAAAGTGAGTAATATTAATTTTATTTTTAATATGTAATTTTTTAAATATGTATGGTAGACGAAATTTTTAACAATCTTGTCCTCACGAGAGAGAAGGAAGCTTAACTACAAGACCTACCCATCAAGTAGGAATGAAAGTCAGCTTTAGTGATTCGAGTTGTTGAGTGGAATATCATTGCTTAACAGATAAAATTTACTCTAGAAATAAGAGATTCATCTTTCTTAAAACGGACTTTAAATTGGGAAAAAAAAAATAAAATTACATTGGAGAGTAAGTCCTGATCTTTTCTTGTTGATGATTCTTTTTTTTTCCATTCAAAACATTATAAAAGACCCTACTTCACTATAGGTTTTGGGGGAAATTGCTTATGGCGCAGTGACGAGTTAATTGTTCCAATGGTCACTGAAGTTAAGTTCATATCTTTGATTGGCCACTGAATTTTAAAATGTCGAGTTTTGGCCACGAAAGTTTGAAAAATGTCAAGTTTTGGTCACTGAACTTTAAAAAATATCTAGTTTTGGTCACTAAACTTAGGCTCATGTCTTCGATTATTCACTGAAATTTAAAATGTCGAATTTTGGCAATTAAATTTTGAAAAATGTTGTACATTATTCACTGCAAGCTCCATAGTTTTTAAAGTTCAATAGTTATGCTAGTGAGTAACGTACGACATATTTCAAAGTTCAGTGGCCAAAACTCCACATTTTAAACTTTAGTGAGTAATCTAAGAAATGAACATAAGTTCGGTAAGCAATTAAAGACATTTACCTAAGTTCAATGATCAAAACTTGATATTTTAAACTTCAGTGATTAACTGAAAACAGAACATAAGTTCAGTGACCAAAACTCGACACATTTCAAATTCAATGTCCAAACTCGACATTTTAAAGTTCAGTGATCAATCAAAGACATAGACCTAAATTCAGTGACCATTAGAACAATTAACTCCTCTATTAAGCCTTTGTTTGATTTAAATTTTTTCAGATCAATTTTCTTTGGATTAATTTTTAGTTACACATTTTTCAATCAAAATAATTTTGTGCGTAAATTCATAATTTTTTTCTCCATATTTTGAACTGATATTCTTAAAAAAATCACTTTTAAATTTTTTATGGTGTAACATAACATAAAACCATAAATGCAAATTATTTGAGAATTAAAACTCTTGGAATCACGTTGCCCTGATTGATAGCCACCACGCCCCTGAGTCATTGCAAAGGATCGATGGTCTTTCTTCCCTCCCAGTTGGCGCCCCCAACGCCAGCCAGAGAAAGATTTTTATACTTCACTCTAAAACCCTAGATCTCTGCGTGCATTTCTCGGAGCCGATTCAAATTGATTCCGTGTTGCCGTAGATTATTCAATTTAAATTCATTATAACCGGGATAATTATATTAGATTAATTCAGTACCAATTTGAGTATTTTTGTTGTTGTTTGCCAATACTTCTGCTATCAAACATGGCCGATGGGCAGGTGATGAAGCGTGCCAAGTATAAGTCATCGGTCAAGGACCCCGGTGTTCCTGGCTCCCTTAAAATGGTAATAATCCGAGCATTCGCATTCTTATATCGGCGTTTTAGCCTCCCACTTATTTTCGATGTCAGTATGGCTTTTTTCTCCTGAATTATTTTATTGGGCTATAATCTGCTGGATTGAGTATAGCCTAGTTGGGCGAAATATAATAAAATGTACCAGAAATGCTGGACAGATCAATGACGTTGAGCTGTTCAATCAAATTTGGCTTTCTTTTTTCATTTTTCATTTTTTAACTTTTTGTGTTAATTGTTAAAATGACCAAGCTGGGATGATGTCTATTTGGTGATTGATGGATTATAATTAAGAAACTGGGGCTATTAATTAGTACAAAAATTCAGCTTATTGATTAATCTGTTTTTTTTTCCCTGTTGCTTGTTACAGACCAGGGAAAGAATTGTTTTTATGCCAAATGATCCAAATTCACCCAGAAAGCTAAATGTGGAGTTTAGGACGATTAAAGGTGCTTTTTTTTTTTTTTCTTAAGTCCTTCCTTCTCTACGAGGATACACATAGATTCTTCTTAATTATAGTTCCACGAGTTGAGGGTTGCAGTTTATGTTATTTTAAATAAAATAAGTTCCAGTGACTAATGTAGTTCAATGCTGTGTGTCTATTTCATTGTAAAAGTAAATTTTCTATTTTAACTGATCTCTCTCGTACTCTATAACCACCCTAAAAGCCAACAGGAAACTGAGAAAAGAGGAAATAAAATGGCCAGTCTTCTAAAGTGTCGTTATTTCATCTTTATAATTCAATGTCTTTATTGTATTTCTGTTGTAGAGCTTTTGTTGATGTCTTTGCATTTATTTCCATTTTTCAGGGCATAAATTTACCAAGGAGGGTTCCAGTAAACAGGCCCTTCTTAATCTTACACAAGACCAGGTTTGCAGTGATGGACTGAGCTGATACGTGCTGCAAAACTTTCATCAATTATCTTTCAACACAAGCAATGTATTCTCTGCTGGTGCCTAGTTTCTGTGCAATTAACAAGCTTAGTTCTGCATTGTTTCAGGGTGGAAATTATATATTTGAGTTTGATAGTTTTGCTGATCGTGATATTTGCCGAGAATTTGTGGGTAAGTCACCGTCACGGGTGAACTTGGATATTATCAAGCTTCGTGTGATTTAAACCTTGTTGAAATTGGGAAGAATCCTTCGAGTTTACAACGCAATTTCTTGAATTGAATCGGTTCTTAAAAATTTAAAATGCTGCTCTATAAAGATTCGAACTTGGAACCTCCAGGTTACATTGTTAGTAATTGTAGGCTTCTATTGGTGGTGCATGGCCTCCTTAACCATAATATGTATTTGGATAATTTTTTCTGAATTAATCACTATAACAACTGTTTGGAGAAGTACAAATAAATAATTTTCTTATTCAATGATGGCCACATTATTGATAACTATTTACCTTTTAGAGATTAAAGTCAAATCAAAATTCATAATGAATGAAATCCCTTGACTAATGATAAGGGGAATATGAAAGATGAGAAACTTATAATGTATTCCTAATTTGGTTTGCATAAACAGAAGCACGAATGTTTGAATATATATTTTTTTTGTTATTACTTGATATATCTCATTTAACACATTTTGATCTTATGATATGACTTAACTTTTTGAAAATTATAATTGATTTATTACATTAAATTATATAAAAAAAATTATTACGATTCACATCTCTCAATGAATCGACGGTCAGCTAAATGCATTACCACCTGAGCTGAGCTTCCGCTTCGCCCAGCTAGTGTATCTATATTGGATTGTTTTTTAACGTTATGTTCTCAGGGAAGTAAGGGGCTAATGTAACTAACGACATTGTATCTGGTGACTTGTGAACAGCTGCAGCTATCGCATTTCATGGAGAAACTGGAAAATCTACCTCTGAAAAGCCTGCTGCTGCTCTTCAGGATGAACAGCTTAGCACAGCAGAAATGGAGCATCGGATTAAGCTACTGCAGGAGGACAAGTAAATTTACTTTCAAAATATTTAATTATAAATATGATTTGACCACTTATGCTTGCTGCATACTGCATACTTCTTTCGGTTGCTGGAATCATATTTTCAGATCTCATTTACATATGGAAGAAAGGCCACCCCTATTTTTATGTTGCTTCTGCAGTTTGACTATTTTATTATCTCATGATGCAATTGAATTGATGTAGGTCAATCCTATTCCAAATAGGTTTGGTTTTTCTTTTTCTTTGTAATTTAGAATAGAATTTTTTTTTCCTTTCTTGTTTAGAATAGGATTTCTTATCTTTATTGATTAGAATATGATTTCTTCTTCCTTTTTTATATTAGGATTTTTAGTTTTCATTTTTTTTTTTTTAAGGATATTATTTTAGTTTCCTTATATTAGTAAGATTAGTTAATAATTTTACCAATATATACAAAGGCTGTGTACACTTTTCAATAATTAATTCAATCAATTCAATACAATAAAATTATTCCGTACATAGTTTCTAGCTTTTCAACTTTAATCTTATTTCAAGAATTCCAATTCTGCTTCTGCACCATGGATCCTCTTTGCAACTGACTTCAGTCATTGTATAATGCTTCCACGATCTCATAGATATATATAGAATTATGTGCCAAGGAGTTTGCTCCATAGGAACAAGTTAGGTTAGTTAAAAAAAATATGGTTTGAAGGCAAAAAAAGAAATGAGGAAGTTGCAGACCACTGTTTTGACTATCATTCAAATCAGCTAGTTTCTCAATGGACAAAATGTTTAATTCATTTATTCCATTCATTGTCAAATAAAATATGTTGTGCATCAAATAATTATTTTTATCTTTTATACTTTATTTCAATATTTAAAGTAGAAGCTAAATGACTCTTTTGGAGTTTGTGCCCAGAAGTTATATTTGGCGCCACTTAAAATTTTGTTATATTTCAATTTCCCGCCTCCCTTTTCAAACTGATATTTTCTCTTACAAAAAGATGAAAAAAAAAAAAAAACTGATGTATCTTCTGTGAGATTACTATGGTACAGTTCAGTTAATCTTTGTAGTTTGTTGGATTTTTTATTTTTTTTTTGTTCTGAATTCATTACATATAGCATTTTTTACTTTAAATTCCACCTATAGGTTGTCTAACTAAATACTTTTACTCGCAGCGAATTGCAGAGGCTTCACAAGCAATTTGTAATTGGAGGTATCCTGACAGAGGCTGAATTTTGGGCGACAAGGAAGGTCAGCTATTGGAGTTTGAACTTCAGTGTCTATTTCGATTGTTCGAAAGAATTAATAATGAGAAAATGGAACGGTTACCTTAACATCTTGCCTTGTTTCCATCCTTATTTTTTCAACATAGCTGTTCCCAGAGGATAGCTTTCACATTTTTTCTATTTTGGAATAAAGTTCTTTTGATAAATATGTGAGGAAGTTAGATACTCAATGACACAGTATACACATAAAAAATCTGTAAGTTCTAGTAAACACATTGTAACAGCATCATATGGGCAAATTTTTTGTAAACTGCTTCCGATAAATGGTTTTTGTTTGGTGTATCTTTTTAGAAAATCTTACTTGACGGCTAGTGTTGAAAAATTGAAAAGGATAGAGCAGGTTCTGCTTTTGGTCTAAAGCTACTGACAGAATATATATGATAAATAATCAGAATTCATTAATGAAGTGCAGAAATTACTGGATCAAAATGACAGAAGAAAGCCAAAGCAGCGAGTTGCGTTAAAAAACGAAATGTGGAGTGTGAAACCCTTATCGGATGGTCAGGTACAAGAAGGAACTCCTTTATCTGTGTGCGCATGCGCATGTGCATGTGCATGTGTATATGCGTATATCACTGTCTTTGCAAGTTTGTGTCTGTGCACCACTATATGTATTCTCTGTGCTCGTCACATAAAAAACTCCATTTTGTTCACATTCTATGTCAGCACAACTCAGTTAGTTTGATCTGGGTGAGTTATATGGCCCTGAATGCAAGACCCTAGTCCCATTATGATATGGAATTTGGTAATGTGTGTCGTGTTATGGTTTGGATTCTATTCGAGTTTTCTAAGGGCAGCAGAAGGGTTTAACTTGGTGGTGCTGTCAGTGTGCAGAGTCTGCTATGGCCCATGCTTTTCCATGTTGAATATTACTCAAAAGGGCCTGCTGGAAAACTCATTTGTTTCCGGTCCCATATTCAATCATGCAGATAAATTTACATTCTTTAGGTGGAAGAACTTGTTTGTTTAACATATTAACCAAAACGAAATGGTTTTTCTGTAATTTTGGATGTTATCTATTTTTGCATTGTCCCAATTCGAATGCAATTTATCCAACAATCAATATATGCAAAAATGAAGAGAAAGAAGCGTTAATATGGAATTGAAGGAGATGTCTAGCAAAGGCATGTGTGCATCTCAGTTTGCTTGGCCCTCCAGAATTTGGTGCTATCTTTTTGGCAATGATCGGGCATCCTATTTCATTTATTGTCTTAACATGTGGATTTTCAGAAGGTGTGGTTGGTAGATTTGTTCGATCCTGGATGTGGTGGTTTGCTGTGATTGAGGGGCTCAAGGGGATCACTGATTCCCACAACATTGACGGGGTGAAGATTTTGTTGTTTGAAAGGAAACTGCATTGAGAGGACTGATGATTGTTGCGATTGGTGGGAGCAGAGCAGTACTATGGTGTGATTGTTAGGGTGCAGTGATAAAGATGGAAATTGATAACTTTTTTCGGTAGCCATAGGATTTGACATTACAATGTGTTTGATGAACATTAAATTTAGGTATTCAAGAAGTAATGCAAAGCCACTTTTTCCTTTTGTGGTTTTTGCTTTCTCATTTCAAAGGATTGAAATATAAATTAAAATAAAAACATAAAACCATTTTCTTTTTCTATTCAAAATTTTAAAACAAAGAAACTTTGTAGCACGGAGACTTCAACTAGAGTAGTATGTTGGATACCGACACTTCTCGGACACACTGTCTTCATCATTTTTCTTTTTTACTAAAAATATTATTTACTTTTAATTTAAGTTATTAGTAAACAACAAATACTTGCTCATATTTAAAAGATTTTAACCAAAAAAAAAAAAATGTAAAACTATAGTTATACTTTATAAATGAAGAATTTAATCAACGTTGTCAGCAACGTGTCATGTCAATACTTTTTTGAAAAATCTTGTGCTGGCATATCCGATACGTGTTATGTTGGACATACATGTCCGTGTCGGTACATTATAGCAGAGAAAAGAACTAGAAACATGCTCGTTACCAAATAGCTCCTAGGTCCTTTCAAAGTTAGCTTTTATTTGTCTGTGAAGTTTGATAATTTCTGAGTTTATGATTCGAACTGAGATTTGATTACTTGTCTGTCATCTTTCAACCTGCAACCTAATTGTCAAGTCTATTTGTTGTATTTTCAGTCTAACAGAGTTACATTCAACTTGACTCCAGAGATTATTCATCAGGTATGGCTACTTTTCTTTAAATTTTTGGTGAACTAGAAAAGTACTTTCCTTTGGATTAAGGTAGCCTCTTACTGTAGATAACAATAAGGGTGTGTTTGATTGCATGTATTTTCCATGAAAAATATCAGCTTTCCACCCAAATTCCTACTTTGAAGTGTTTGATTGCTATATTTTCATTGAAAATATTTTTCAACTTTTGAAAATAGGCTTAATTTTCTTGTTTTTAAGGAAAATATTTTCTTTGGGGAAGTAGATTTTTTGTGTTTTCTTCAAAATAAGGAAAATATTTTCTTTTTTAGGTGATATTTTCCATGTCAATCAAACACACTCTAAACGTTTAGCTATTTTTAGTGTTGACTTTATATAGAATAGTCCTTTTAATTGATATTGTGATCGTTACACGGGAAGTGGCCCAAAAGAAAGAAGACTTGGTGGAAAACATGAATTTCCAATTAATTCTATCCAAGAAAGCTCAAAATAATATTTATAACTATCCAAAACTGCTGAGGTCTGTAAAAATTCTTTTAGTAATACCGACATTTTTTTGAAAAACCAAACTAACTAACAAGTTTAATTGTTTCGGCACCCCTTTTTCTTTCCTTTATTTTATTTTATTTTATTTTATTTATCTTTTCACATTTCCAACTGAAATGACGGAACCGTTGTGTGCTCGATGAATTAATTGGTAGTACAATGCTTTAAAATTAAAACTATTTTCATTCAGTGATGGGATGCTTTTTCATATTTTTGCACGTAACTTCAAGCTACTGTCGAATATTATTGTGTCATTGTATCTTCCCATACGTGAAGCCTAATATTAAAGACAAATCTACTGAAGCTCCACAAGAGTAATTTGTAGTAGAAAATAATTTGTTTCTTTATGTGTAACTTTTGTTGCTGGTTATTAGTTAAACATTTGGGTGTATGTCTCTGAACATATCCCATGTTGTCAACCTTACTGATACCTTAAACTTACTGCAGATATTTGCTGAGAAACCGGCTGTTCGCCAAGCATACCTGAAGTTTGTTCCGAACAAGGTGAGGAAAATGTCAATGTTTGATATCCTTTCTCTGGAAGTTCTTTTCCTAAATATTTCCTTGTTGCACTTATATCCCATCAGCTTACTTGCCCATGTGGCCATGATTATATTTATGATGATTATCAATGAAATTTTGATGCTTGATACTTGGTTCCATTAGGCTTTGGATATTTTCCTTAAACCTTTTCCTGTCTCAGTGAGTGAAAATGGGATGGTAATTTAACCTCCGTTTGGCTAATTTATGAATGATTTATTAGTCATCTATAAATGGTCAAACTTCATTTTTAACCACACATTCCAATGGACTTATAAGTTCTTAACACTTATCCATCACTCATTTGTATCTATCTATAAATTATTTCCAGACGGAGGCTTAATGGTAATTAAAAATTAGACACAGTCCCTGAAATTTTGGTGCTTAATACTTGGTTCCATTAGGCTTTGGATAATTGCCTTAAACATTTTCCTGTCTCACTGAGTGAAAATATTTGCATTTTGGAACAAATGGTAATAAAAATAAATGGTAGTGGTGCCACTTGATTTTGAAATTGTATGATAAAACTCCCATTTCATAATCCATATGGTCTATGAAACCTTGAAGGAGAATGTCCTCTTTGGTGGAAAGCTACTGAATGTGGTCTTGTTACTTAATTTGTAAGAATAACCATGCATGAGTGTTCAGAGTAGGTTAAAACTGTGAGCCTTTTTTTTCCCATGAAGAAGAAAGCAGTGAGTTTAGTCAAGTCACTTAAGTTTTGTATATAAAAACATGAAAAATATTTAATGAAACTAAATGTTTATAAACTTTTAAGAAGTATTATTTTTCGACATTTAGATCTATATTGAAGTGTGATCGCTTGATGATGTCCTTAGATTCATGCTAAATCATTAAATATGAAAGGTATACTGTTAATTGTTGGAACCTCGAGCTATGTGCCATTAGCAATATATGTCTAAAAGAAGTTCCGTAGCCGTTAGAAATCGCTGACAATGAAAAGTTTGGTAATCCAGATGTCAGAAAAAGAATTCTGGACCAAATATTCAAGAGCAGAATATCTCCACAGTACTAAAAATGTAGTTGCTGCTGCAGCTGAGGCTGCTGAAGATGAGGAGCTTGCCGTTTTTTTGAAACAAGATGACATGTTGACAAATGAAGCTCGTAGAAAGGTGATATACACTTGAAATGTGCACTTATTATTTTTCCACGTGTTAACATTCTCACACTGGAATTTTGAAATTTTTTTTCAGATCAGACGTGTCGACCCAACTTTGGACATGGAAGCTGATGTAGGCGATGACTACATGCATCTCCCGGTACATTTGGTGGCATCTATATTCTGATGTCTTTCATTGACAATTTTTGCAAGAAGAAGCTTTTTTTGTTCACTTTGTTCTTGATATTTACTACTATAATCTAGAGTGAAAATAAGAAGTGGTATCAACCAAATTTGTTTATAAACATGTCACTGGTGTTAATGACATGTTATTTTTTATTTGGTCTCCGTTCCCATTTTGGATATTGTTGTTCTTGAACTGCTCTTAGGAACACATCATATTGGTTCACAAGATCTTATGTTAGATTGCATGTTGGTTTTCGCAACCTATTGCACATGGATTTTACAATGTTTGATCACATAAAGTTGTGCTTTTGTGACATTATAGGATCACGGGTTACTTCGTGAAGAGAGCAAGGATGTTTTAGATTCACAATATGAGCCATACAGAAGATATTTCTCACAAGATCTCAACCAGCATGCTGCAGTTGTTCTTCAAGGAAGAGTTGTAGGTAGGTTGTTCTGTAAGCCTTTTAAGGCATATTTACCAAATTTTTGAAGCTTTCAGTTTGAAGACGTGATAAATTTTGTTGACGAATTAACTTTGTATAAAAAAGTACAGTCTGGATGATGCTTTGTAGGGTTTAGATTATCTGTCAAAGCTGACTTATGATACTCTGATGCAGAGTTCATAGTATTCAAACACCATGCTGTTGTGTGGTGTGGTGGTCTATTTTTCAACCTTTCCTTTTTTTCATTGCTTGTATCCATGTGCTGATTAGCTAGTGTGTGTCACAGGATGGGAGTTCTGATATGGTTAGTGGTCTCATAATTCATGCTGAAGGTCAAAGTCTCAACATGCTAGTCCTATGTCTATTGTTTGCCTTTAATTGTTTGTTTTACGTGAGAGAGAAAGATAGGTACTTGCATGTAGCAGATGGTGATGGTTTGTTTATTTCCTCCTTTCCTACGCCTAATTCTCTGCTATACATGTTTTAACACATGCTATCCATCTGGTATCAAATAATCTAATGAAGCAGCTTCTCTATTGACTTCTATTGCAATTTCAGTGGTCCATCCTTTGTTGACCAATGCAGGCTGGCGTAATAAAAAAAAATTATAATAAATCTAGTTACTATTTTTTGCGAAGAGCTTGGGGTTTGCCAGAATCATTTTTAACTCAAGCATTTACGGCATAAGTGAAATATATGACAGCCTAATGGCTTTTCTTCTTTCTACAATCTGAGTGTAGATGTTGAGCTTGGAGACACAAGGTCTGTGGCTGAAGCACTTGCTCGGACAAAACAAGGTTAGAGGATAGCTTATTTCCCTCGTTAATGGCAATATATATGCTATTGTTATTCTCGTGAAACTAAAAAATAGTGCACCGGAAATTTTCTATTATCTTTGCAGCTGAGTTGGCTAATGAAGTATCTGATGGGAATTTAGAAAAAGATCTCTCACACAGAATATCTCGAGTAGCCGAGATTGAGGATCTTCAGGGGCCTCGAGACCTTGCAGTTGCTCCCCTCTGTATTAAGGTTTGACTATTGTATTGTATTTTTTTTTTTTTTTTAACTTTTGCACTGCAATGTTATATCAATGATATACATTATCAAAGTTCATTGATGACACTAAGAAAAAATGAAAAAGAAAAGCAATGCTGTTGATTATCTCATGTCTTCCTTTTTAAAACAGGACCCTAGGGACTACTTCGACTCTCAGCAAGCTAATGCATTAAAACCATTAGGAGATGCTGGTTCTGGTGTAAAGACATTAAAATTTAATGTAAGCTCAGTTGAAGCCTACGGTTCTTTAAGGGAACTTATATCAGAGATTAGAGTCACAGGATTGAGTGAACCAATTACAGATCCAGAAGTTGCCTTTAAGGTATTACGTTTTCACATATATGTTGTCCGTAGGTATTGACTTCTAGTGATGTAGCTTCCTTAAGAAGATGTTTGTGGGCATATCAATATTGATTTGGCAAAACATAACTGCTCACTGTAATTATGTAGGTTCTCAGTGGGTTGACCCAGAATATATCAAGCACGAAATACCATCTTGGAAAGAGCCCACACGAGAGCATATTGGATAGCTTGCCAAAGGTTACTAAAGAGGATCTTTTACATGTGAGTGCACACCAATACAACACGTGTAGTGCTTCTATTGTTATATCTGCTATGTTACTCTTCCATCATGTTTTCTAAAATGTAATTTGTTATTTGTAGCATTGGACATCTATTCAGGAATTATTGAAACATTTCTGGTCATCATATCCAATTACAACAAAGTATCTTTATACAAAGGTAATTATGCCATTTTTTTCATGCTTGAAAAAGATGACAGTAAGCAACACTTTTTTTTTACCTTTCGACGAGAATTCAGTTTTCTAGAAAAAAATTCCCACCCCTCTTGGCGACCTTTATTGATCTTCAATAAAGCAAGTCCAAAATTGCTAATTACGTTGTAAGTCAAATGTTTTGATATTGGTGGCCAGACTATATTGATGCAATCCTCCATTTGATAAGTTGATTGAGTATTTTAAGCAGTTTACACTCTTCATAGGTAACCAGATTGAAAGATGCCATGTCACAAGTATATCCAAAGCTACAGGTACATTTTGTTCTTCTGGATAATTACAATTGTTTCTTGTACAATGGATTGCCTACTTGCGTTTATAATTTTTCTTGTATCTTTTCATTAAATTCCAGGAAATTAAGGAATCTGTGCAGTCAGATTTCCGGCATCAAGTTTCCTTACTTGTCCAACCAATGCTTCAGGTTTTCCTCAATGTCAACTCTCAATTTAGTGCTAGCATTGTATTTTGATGCAGGCCTTAAATCATGAGACAATGTGGTTTCTTTATATTCCAGCAGCCACAGTACAACTAATAAAATTTTGTTTGATGCAGGCTTTAGATGCTGCCTTTGCACACTATGATGCAGATGTACAGAAAAGGTCTGCTAAGAGTGGAGAAAGACCCAATGGGTTTATGTAGCAAAGTTTTCGCGGTTTTTTCATATTATAAGAAATATATGAAGTGTATATCTTATAAATTTTGTTGATTTTTCTGCTTTTTGAGAAGATCTCACTAATTTTTACATTGCTAGGCGCTTGCTACAGTGTTACATGTTCTCATGAGTTATGGAAACCATAAATGTACCTTAATTATCTTTTGTTACCGTTGGGATTTTGACAGAGCTTCAATTGAAGTCTTTGTTTGAACTTTTATAGTTTAAGCCAGTGGAATCAAACATGCAACAAAATTAATCAAATAGGTTCAAAAGCAGTTTTTGAATTTAAAAGCTCAGTTTGGGTCATCAAAAGCCATGACAAATGGGTTCTTATAATAATTAATAAGCTCTGTTTCGGTCATCAAAAGTCATGACAAATGGGTTCTTATAATAATTAATAGATAAATTGATAATACGGCATGTTGAGTATTATGGTTATGGATTGCACTTAGAAAGGTAGGTGTAAGAATTCAAAGTTCAAATTTTTGTTTTCAGTAGAAGAGCTTATCCAATATACTTTGAGCTAGGTTCTATTAGAAGTTTTTTCTAGTATAACAAAACATTTGCAAAAAAGTTATACAAATGAATTTTATAATTTTATAATTTGAGAAGCAGCTTTTGACATTTAAAAAATCTTGTTAAATGAGTTTATGTATTAGTTATCTCGTTGGCATAAACCGACTCTCTGGAAAGTGGAGTGGTCATCATCTTCATCAAATACATCGACGCGAGGCAAGTATAAGTTGTCATGTTGAATGCAGCTATTAACCTACTATTGTGTAATTGAACATGTTATAGGGGGTCTGGTTCCACTTTTTTGCTCAATTTTTAGTTGTTTTTGGACTGTTGGAGACTTGCCAGCCGGAATAATTGACTTCCCCACCTCACAAGGGGGCCCACATGCAGGACAATAATGTCAGAAAATCCATTTCTTCTGAAAAAAATTGGAACCAGACATGCCCATAATATTTCAGATACGAGCTTTTCCTACAATTTCTCATCGAACAATTAATTAAAAATATAATATTGCATTTATGAAATATTTATTAAGACAACCGAGAAGAAAACTAATACTAATCCACACAATTAATGAAATGTTCGAAAACAAGAAACATAGGACTAGAAAGGTGAAAAACCATAACGACTTCAGAAAGAAAAAAATGACTTCAAAAACAAAAAAGCCTAAGCCAACCAGCTTTATATTAATACAAAATATCAATTCAACTAGTAGTGCATCAAGTTCCAACTGAAAATTCAATGAAAAATATGACCAACGTTCCTCGAATGATAACATAAAACTAACCACATTCAATTATATTAATATTTGGATTTATGGTCTAAGATGGTGGAGGAGCATTGAAACCCAAGAATGGCCGTCCGGCGGAGCAGAGGGCGGCAGAGGAGCTACAATCATGCATTGTGTTTTCCAACCTGTGAAACCCATTCTTGAATACACCAAATCCGAACAACAATCCAATGGCCACAACCACCAATATAACGCACAGGAAGAAACAACAAACCTTAGTCCCACAACACATTTTTTATCCCTTTCGTTTCTATATTGACCGAAAAACAAAATCTGGATCTGGGTTTTTGGATCAAGAGAGATGTGGGTGTTATTGCACTTGTATTGCTTTGAGTGGATGGTGGGTGGTTATATGTTCTTGAAGCGGTTATTCTACGCAGTGTTTTAGGTGAGTGAGGAATAATATTATTCATATTATAGAGTTTAGTGTCATTTCACTTTCATTTCATCCATATTTTCAATTTCTCAAACAATATTTTAAGTCTCCGTTTGTCCCCATTATTTGATGTTATAATTCTTTTTTTTTAAGAATGTGTGGTTGAAAAAGAAAGATTTTTTATTTATTTATGTATGATACTATTTTATTAGATAATGTGATATTAAAAAAGGAGAGAGAAAAATGTATTATACATTTAATGGGGGGCTATTCTAGGAAATTTCATCTCCAACTTTCTCTGAAATCTCTTATAATAAGATAAAACACTTTTAGAACCTATTTTACGGCCTTTGAAATTTTAAATTGTTTACTATAGTATTATTTTTCATCACATATTCACACAATAAAATATTTTACACACAAATCAACAAAGTTTCTTTACTTTTTAACTACGCATTCTCCTATACATACTATTCAAAACTCTTTTATTTGCCAAATAATGGGTGACAAATAGGGGCTTAGTGAATTTCTAAATAAATAAAAAAGTTACTTCTTAGTTTAAATAATTTGAGTTTTCAAAAGTTTTGCCAAACAGCCATATTTTATCTTAATTAGGAATTGGTGCTTCTAAGGATTCTTTAGGACTCAAGATTAGGTAAATGCCAAAAAGAAAAGGATGGGAACGGTTAAGCTGTCACATCAATAATTTCCCTCTGTTGAAATCCTTAAATTTGAATGTTCCATGGACATCCCCGTATAATAGAAGGGAAAATTTGGATTTTCACATCTTACATTGCATTCCCTCAACAGCAATGAACCCCTGGCAAGAAAGTTTTACCTATGAAACAAGTCTCATCATATGTGAGAAGCTGTCTTAGCTCAGACGTACATAATACATAGTACTAGACAATATTATTTAATCCTATCTAATACTGAGAGAACCAACGTGCGGTGTTATGGTCTTGCTCTTGAACATGACATTCAATTGAAGGACAAAGGAGAGTTTGCCTAATTAAGGTAAAAGTTCAGATAGGTTCTGGAAAAGGGACCAAACATAAGAAAGGCATGGTATATATATAACTTGAACTGTTGAATGCAGCTCTAATTTCTGTGTGTTCTCTCATTTTCTTAGTAGTAAGGACAATTTTTTTAAGAAAAAAGGGTGATAAACAAGTCTTAAGAGCTTAACTTAAATGTACAACTATTGGGTACTGATAAGTGTGTTTTACACACTTATTTAATATCTAAATATGTTATTTATTTATTAAATGAATGGAATTTCATTCATAATTGTGTAACATTTGCTTTTGTAAGCTAAAAATCACCCAAGTAAAGAGAACGAGATGAAAGGAAGTGAAAAGGGACTAAATACGTACAAAATTATGAAGTGGAGACCAAAATGCAAAGAATCGAAAGTAAAAGGACCCAGGTTGAAATTATTGGAGGGTGTAATCGATATAAAAGTCAAAATTTAGGGACCAAATTGTACAAGATCATACTTGAGGGACTTGACATGAAATTTTCTCAAGGACTTAGCTGCAAAATGACAAAAAAATCTTTTTTTTTTTTTTTTTTTTTTGGGGCTATGTAACAGGGCCAGGGCGCCTAGGTGCCACTGATCCGGCGCCTAGGCGCCACCTTTAATTCAAAACAAAGGCTTAGGGACTATTTTGCTCACTTTCCAAAATTCGGGGACCAAGGCTGCAATTTCCCTAGGGCTTAATTCTTTTATTTTTATCTTTCTTCCTTTTCTTTTCTTTTTTCTCTTTTTTTCTTTTATCTTTTTCTTTGTAAATCTTTGATACTTTTGGAAGCAAATCATATAGAGCACAAGGAGAAAACATTTAAAGATTTGGAGGAATATTTTGAAAAATCAAAGTCAAGCTTCAAATTGGGTTGCAACTATAACTTTGTATTTTCTTAATTATTTTGGCATGTTTGTAATGTATTTTGTAAAATATTCTCATTTTATTCATTTATATAATATGGACTAATTTCTTGAGTTAGAATTTATGGTATTAGTTTAACATAACTTTTAATCAATTTGGATATTTGCTCTTTAATATTAAATTATTTATTTTCATGTGTTTTTACTATTGTATTTCATACATTTTCATTTATGTGGTCAATAAATAATTGTGTTTAGTGAACTGTGTAAGAGAAGATTGTGAATTTTAGACTAAATAGTAGAAACACTATGTTTGTGTAAGGGATAGAGATATACTTCTAGTCCTAGGTGATCTAATGAGCTATTTTCACAAATATTTAATGAGGTTGTTTGATTTTAATCGACATAGAGATATGATAAGTTAAACCAATCAATTAGGGTTAATTTCGCTCGATAGAGGTAATTAACTAAAATAGGAAAATTGAGTCTACCATCGAAAAAATGAATAGCATGTTAATTGGTTTATGGAGAAATTAATTAGACCATGGTTAAGCGAAACCATAAATCCCAACCACATTTGCTTTCGAAATTTTCAAGTTGCTTATATTTTCTTATTTTGTAGTTTTTTTAGTTAATTTCCTTATTTCAAACTCATATTTTTAATTATATGTGTTTATTTTTATTGTTAGAATTAAATTAATTAAGGTCGTGTAATCTAGAATATACATTCCTCGAGAGATCAACAATTCGGACTCAAAAGGTCTACTTTATTACTTGTACGTGACCCGTGCACTTGCGGCATGTATTTTTAGCGAACAGGTACCCAATTTAAACCACTTAAAAGTGAAAAAAAAAAAAAAATTAATGCATAACATCCACAGTTACCAAGGAAGAGATGAGGATGATGGTCAAAATTACTGTAGGAATGAAAAATAGAATGAATGCAAGAGAGATAAGTGAAAGGGATTTGAATAGGCTTTAAATGAACATGCTTTCAATAACTCTGTATATTCATAAGTGGAGATTACCTTGCAACCGATTTTTACTTTTTAAAGAGTACAATTCTAAAATCAGGCTTAAGTTTTACTTATCCATAAATCAAGTATTTAAATATTAATAATTAATAATTAAATATTTAAATTAATCTAAATATTCACCTCAACCCCACCCAATTCCATCCACCCTACCAAAATTTAACTCCAAACCCTAATCATTTTCCTTCTCTCTTCTTCTCACTTTTCCCTTCACTCTCTCCTCTTCCTCCTCCCTCCCACAACCGACCAATCGTCGAAAGATGGCGGTTCTCACAGGGAAACCGTCATGCACAGCAACGATGATGCTGGTGTTGTTGCTGTTCGAGTCTTTTTAGATGGTTACTTCTTTTTATCCGTTACTTTGTCAGAGTTCTAGGTAATTTTGTGTTGATTTTGTGGCCATTTTGTGGTGATTTTTGAGGTGGTGGTGTTGCCATTGGCATGGATCACATGTTCATAGTGTGTATGTTAAATGCCGTGTTGATATCTGGTGGTGGTTCGAGTGGTGGGATAGGTCTCAAATCATTGTACAAAGGTCACAAATAAATGTCCATAGGTTACAAATCATGTTTATATGTCATAGGTCACGAGTTATATTGTATCGTTCACAAATCAGTGTCAACAGATCACAGACCAAAATTCACTAATCATAGATCACATGTCACATGTCTTTGTACTAATAATAGGTCAACGATTTAAGATCACGTCACCGACTCACAGTTCATGTGTTACTTCCAATGTAGACAACTTCCAATTTGTTACCTTAATCGTTCGACGAAATTCAATTAACTAGATTTCGACAATGAGAGTCAAAGTTATTTGCTTTGACATATCTTTTGATAGCTTCCAATTTGTGCCTCAATAGTTTAGTGATTTTCAAACAATCAAATTCCGACAGTTGTAATAAAGAATATTTGCTCCAAAGAGGTCTCTGTGACTTTTTTATTTTGGTCGATCTTGTTTAGGAGAGTCCCATTTAGAATGGTAATTCAAAACATTAATTTGGGATGTATGTATTTATTAGAATTTATTTTTTATATGATGTTTATAAATTACCACTGGGTTTTGAGCTTTTAGACCTTTTCTCCAAAAATTGAATTGGAGTATAGTTAAGGCTTATGTATTGTTCCTCGACTTTCATTCATTTTCTTTAGGCCAGCTTGAAAGTTGAAACTAAGAAAGAGAGATGTGACTAAGGCGACATGTAAGCAATTGTGCATGCCAAGAGAAGAGGATGAAAGTTTTTTATTTTTATTTTTTTTTTTTGGGACAAAAAATATTCCTTTTTTTCTTCATCCTTTGCATTCGCGGATGGCCCAGTTACGTTAGGAAAAGAATAGAAGAAGGATCTCACATGCTCTAGGAGGTAAGTGGGCCAATATTTGTTGGTAGACCTGGCCCAAGTCCAAAAAAAGATGGCTCGATACCAGTGGCTCTCATTATAGGCAAAGGGTTGTTACAGCTTTCTTTCTGCTTCCCCTCACTCACTCTTATCAATTTCAAACAACTGCAATCACATTTACCGAAATCAGGAAAGTTCTAAGTATAAATGAATATATATATATATATATAAGAACAATAGTTGTTCCAATTACCTGATGGCGGATTTTCAACTTCACTTGAGTCGTTTGCTGGAATTGTTTCACTATTTCATTCATTTCGCTTCCCGGACAAATCTCCGATGATGAACAATTCAATATTTAAATTTCTCGAATTATTATCAAAGTAGCAGAAAAACTAACCAATTGAAATAAACTGTGAATCGAACCAGTGGGGGAGACTGAGCAGAAGTCTGGAAAAACATGTTAAGTTTTACAAGGATTAAACTACATCACAAAGGATCCGTGGCGCAATGGTAGCGCGTCTGACTCCAGATCAGAAGGTTGCGTGTTCGATTCACGTCGGGTTCAAACCCCCCTTGATCCAATCTCTTTTTAAATTTTATTTAAAGTAATAAATACCTTTTTTACTCTTCTTTTTCAATTTTATTTTCAAGTAATATGTACTCTCCCTCTCTACAGAAACTGAATTTTGCGATCATATTTCATTTTTTTCCTTTGATGTATTGAGTTATTTGTCTTTAAATCATTTTTTTGTTAACCCATCAACATTTAGCCTCTATTTAACATTTATAAATGATTATAATTCATTTTCACAACTCAATTTTATCTATTTATAAATTAAATAATTTATAATAAACATTTCAAAATGGAGGCTTAAATTTTAACTTTGACTTTAAGCAAGCTCGAGCTAATCCTGCCTATATATATATATATATATATATAACCATATGCTCTTTTTTGCTTTCCATCTCAATAAAACTCCTTTGATAGGGTTGAAGACAGAAAACAAGAAATCATGTTGATTTGAATGTTTTTGATTGGATGTGATTTTAAAAAAATTTCAAATTGTCCAATTGCTTGTCAACATATGGCACCCCTGTTTCTTACCCTTTTTTCTACTCTGAATCTGTAGCATCATTCTTTTCATTTTTACTCCTTCGAACATGGGAATGAAAAGAAAAAAGTTTTATCCTGGTTCCCAGTAGCAAATGTTATACCATCAGGATGCCATGCTGATGCAAATGAATAGTCCTTATGCCCGCGCAAATGAGCAATTATCTGTAGAGGTTAATATCAAAATTTAGTGTCAGGAAGTAAAAGGCCTCCTCCGTCCCTACTTACAACTCGAGGAAAATAAGTGATGTACCTTCCCACTACTTGAGTCCACCAACATACCGTCCGGATCATCTCCAACAATTACGAGAAGCTTCGTATTTGGACAAAGAGATGTATGCTGCCAGTGATATCCAGCAAATGTTGTTAATTAAGAGTATCAAACTACGCATATGTAAAATGCAATTTAACAAATATGAAGGTATCAGAATTACATTTCTTTAAGGCCCCAGTTTGGTCTCCATTAATTTCTATTCCATTACATTATATTTCTTTCTCTCCTATTTTCAACCATACAATCTTCCATAAAATAATATTACACGTAAATAAAAAACTTTTTCCTTTTTTTTTTCAACCACTCATTTTTCCAAAAAGTACTACTCCACCCATTTTAATTTCTAAAAAATGGGGGCCAAACAGAATCTAATTCTTTTAAGGGTTCCTTGTCCTATGGGGAGAATTTTCTCTTGCTAAACATCATTCCCCCAACCACAGCCGCATATTAATAAAGATGCTCGGGTAAAAGAGTTTGAACCTTCTACATGCATATTTTGTGGATGACCCTAAAACTATAAAATGCAGCTCATTTTAAAACAGAATAATATCACTGATCTAAGAACTAAGACAAAAAGCAGGTGCTTAGAGGAAAATGTAAGGGACTGTGGCTCTCTAAAGACTTCTCAACAATCCAAATATTAAATGCAATTCATGTCTTCCAACAGCATCGAGAATCAAATTCGCAAACAGACATACGGAGAGAGAGAGGCTTACATTGACTGGCCAAGGAAAATAAATATGTTTGGACTTGAATGTTTCCACATCAAAATCTCTAACTCCGCAGTCATTATTTGAAGCTATAAAATGAATTCCACCGCTGAAAAGGAAATAACAGAATGCTCAAGGAGATTTCCAAAAAGAAAAATGTACATCCGTAACGAGTATAAGGGATCAACAGATACCTTCTAGATGTATATATCTCAACAGCATTAGTGATGGCATTATCACCGTGGGTTGTCCTCGTGCAGTAACAAATACCAGGCCGGTCTAAATACTGCAACCAAATAAACGGAACAGAATCCTTTTCAGTAAAACGGGTTCAACTTTATGCAAAGCAAAACTCTGTGCGAGAACAGCTGAAAGAGTAAACTGGATACCAAAACCTATCAACAAACTCAAAATGGGTAAGTAGTAAATTTGCAACAGAACCAAAGGTCAAAGTGATGCATCCTGATTCCTTTAGTCATTTAGAGCACCCAAAGATGCATTGAGCAGCTGGCCGCTTGTAGGAGCCCAGCCACGATTATGATTGCTTTTAACTTCATATTTCCATCTGTGCTGCCATTTTCTAATTTTTCGCATTTATTAACTAAGGGTAGGATTGTCTTTAATTATACCATAGTTGTTGTTGTTGTGTATTTTTTTTCCCCCTCAATATTGTGAGGGTATTTTAAATGCCCAAAAACACTCTTCTCATTGTCTTGGCTTGTTTGATATAATTTACAAAACTTGGAATTTTCTTCCTATCTTCGTTCTTCTCTTGGTATTCATATAATCAAGGAGATTAGGTTAAGGTGATGTTCTATTTTTTCGCCACGCCTGCTGCATCAGAAAGTAATTTTAAACAAAAACTACAAAAAGTAGCACCAAGTAAGGAGTCCGCACATTGCATAGCCAGGGCTATCCCAAATTACTAGCTCATTCTATTTGCAGATGAAAGTAAATACAAAATTAAGCACTTGCATAACCTGGCCATTCAAATGAAAGGGAAGTTAAGCAGACAGCTAATTGTTTTAAATAACCCCTTAAACCGATCATACTAATCAAGAAACTACCACAATGAAGATCTTCAAGAACAAAACTAAGGGCTTTACACATTGTTGATGCCAATAAAACAAATTAGGGAAACACTTTTATAGATATACAAACTGGGAAAAATATTAGAGACCTTGCAAATTAGTTCTCCCTGAAATCCTCCAGCAACCAGCAGATTGTTTTTCACTGCTAGTGTGCTGACCTCGGTCTGCGTAAATCCATCCAACAGGCTTCCAGGATATTTCTGCATTGTAGTAGAAAATAGAACTTATATTCTTGGACCACTAGTAATTCCAAAAACTGGGGGAATTCATTTTGTTTCTCTTTCTTTTCTTTTTTCCAGCTGTAGTCAAGTTTTTTTGGGCCGGGAACCGGGGGGGGGGG